ATAATCTCTTTGGACTTATCTCCAAGTTTCCTACTCTTTCTTCTGCCAGTTAAAATCTGCTGTTGAGTTCTCTAGTGAACTTTTCATTTCACTTATTGTGCTTTCAACTCCAGAATCTTCATTTGATTATTTGTCTCTTCATTGATGCTCTCTTCTATTTCATTCTTTAGACAGTTTTTTCTTCAGTTTTGAACATATGTTCAATAGTTGATTTACAGTATCTATTATGCCTGATGTCTGTGCTTCCTTGGAGAAAGCTTTTTCAAACTGTTTTTTCCCCTTTCTCTTTGCATCCCTCATATTGTTTTTGCTGTTGAAAACTGGACATTTTAAACATATATCAAAACAAGATTCTCCTGCCTCTCTGGCTTTAGTGCTGTTGCTGCTGTTTGCTTAGTGATTTTCTTAGACTAATTTTACAATTAATAAATTTTGGGGATTTTTGGGGATTTTGTTTGGTTTTCAGCGCTGGGGATCAAATCCCAGGGCTCATGTATGCTAAGCAAGTGCTCTTCCATTGAGCTACATCCCCAACTCCCAAGTCTGTATCCCTTTTTAATTATTGTTAAAGATTTATTTATTTTGTGTATATGTGTGGGTGCCTATATGTATGTCTATGCACCAAATGCACGCCTGGTATCCACAAAGGCCAGAAAAGGGTATCCAATTCCCTGGAACTGGAGTTCTAGGCAGTTGTTAGGTACCATATGGGTGCTGGGAATTGAACTCAGATCCTCTGTAAGAGTAGCCAGTGCTCTTAACCATTGAGACATCTTTCTAACCCCTTAAGTCTATATTCTTTAATTTTATAGAATCACTGGTTTCTGTTTCATTATCTTAGTGATAAACTAAGAATTAGACAAAGATTTGTTCTTAAAAATTTATTATTATTATTATTATTATTATTAATTACTTATTTGTGTGTGTGTGTTTGTGGGGGGCACACAGACCCCAGCATGCATGGGGGGGTCCAGAGGATAACTTTGTGGGGTCAGTTCTCTCCTTCCACTATTATATGGGTTCCAAGGATTGAACTCAGTCACCAGATTTGTATAACTAGCACCTTTACCTGCTGAGCCATCTCACTAGCCCCAAAGATTTATTTAAATGCCTTAAACCAGGACCCCTTTTCATCTTTGCTAAGAAGCTCTCTGTATGCACTGGAGCTCACCCTCAATGCTCTAGGAGTCAAACAACTCTGCCTTAGCCTTTGCTTCCTGCTTACACAGAGCCTAAGAGTTGGCCAGAGGTGAGGGGTCAGGGCTCTCCTGAACTTGTTCTCTGCAAATGCATGAGGCCTTCCAGGTTTGTAGTAACAAGTCAAGTTTTCCAAAGTCCTCTCTGGACATTTTATCACAAGATTTTTGGCCAGATTCTTGTTAACTTCAAATGACATTACTACTTCCTGCAGCTGAGGTGCTTAAAAAGTGCCACTGATTCTTTTCAGTCCAGGAAAAAGGGCTTTTCCCACCTAGTAAGTTCCAAATGAGGGAAAGTAAGGTCCAGATAACTCAAACTGTTTATTTGTGGAGATGTGACTTTGAGGGTGATACAAGCCTATTCTGCTTCCTCCAGTGGCTATGAGTGAGCTGGTTTTCACAGCCTTGTGGCTCCATGGCAGCTACTTTTCATCACTAAATGGCCTGAAACTGCTGGTTTCCACAGATGCAGCAGAGTCTGGGAGAAGGGAACTAGAAAGGGGTCAGGGAAGACACAAAGTCCACTGTTCTCACTGCTTCTCAGGCATTTTTCTTTACCAAATATCATCTACATTGTGATAAGAGCTGTTAAGAATCCCTAAAAAATGATCTTGACAATTTTTTACCACTGTTGTTGCTGCTTTGATAAACAAGCAGATTTCCTAAGATCCTTATTTCACCACCATTTAAGAAGTGCTTCCCTTGGGTCAGGGAATGTAGCTCAGTTGGAAGAATGATTGCCCAGTATACATGAAGCCCTGAGATTGACCCCAGGACCACCTAAAAGAGATGTGGTGACACACGACTGTAATCTCAGCACTCAGGAGGTATAGCAGGAGGATCACAAAGTCAAGGTTATCCTCAGCTACATAGCGCATTTCAGGCCAGTCTGGGATACCAGTCTGAGACCCTTACCTTAAAAAAAAAGTGCCTTTCTGTCATCTCTGTTACTGTCCACTGTGTTGTCAGTGCCCCCAGCCATTCCCTAGTACAAGTCCATCCACTGAGTCTAGTCAGCCTATCTAGAGTCCCTTGTTTTAGGAAGATCAACTCTTCCTCATCTAGCAGCAATAGGTTGCCAACATTCCTTTAGATAAGATTGGGGTCTGGGGTGGGGGGAGGCTATGGGAGGGTGCCTTTTGGGATGCAGGTATAAAGGTGAATAAGATTGTTTGGGATGTTCTGTATGAAATACACACAAAAAAATCAATAAAAATAAATGAAGAGGGCACAAAGTTGGGAGGGTTTTGGAGGTGGGGGGATCAATCTGGGAAGAGTTAGGGGGAGTAATGAGGGGGTGAATATGATCAAGATACATTGTGAGAAATTCTCAAATAATTAATAAAAATTTTATATTCAGCCGGGCGTGGTGGCACACACTTTTAATCCCAGCACTTGGGAGGCAGAGGCAGGCGGATCTCTGTGAGTTCAAGGCTAGCCTGGTCTACATAGTGAGTTCCAGGACAGCTGGGGCTACAGGCAGACCCTGTCTCAAAATGACCAAAAAAAAATTATATTCAAAAGAAAAAAAAGTGCCATTCTACTTCTTGTATCATCATTTAATCAAACAGACAAGGAAGAGTGTCCAGTCATAGAGGATTAAAACTGGTATTCTGGACAGACATATAAACAATCTGCCAGGTACAGCAGAGAGAGAATGCCTTTGCCCCACAATGTGGCCCAGAATTGACCTACCCAATAACCAACAACACTATCTTCAATACATTAATACATTTAGGCTTTGTTCTTGTTCTCATGGGGTCAGTGACCTTACCTTGCCACCCACAACCTCCAGCATTGAAGACCACAGCTCTGGGACGCACCATTGCTCACCTGGTACCACTATCATCATCTCCAGTCACAGAAAACATTTAAGCACTTATCTGCTCTAGAGCCTCAAGTAGGCTTCGAATTTCCTGCTGGAGATGCAGTAATGTTAACAAGAGTCAATGGACAATGTCATCAAGATATTTAACACTAGAGGGTTAAGTGAAAGTTCTTGAATCCTAGACCTAGAAGGGATCCCAAAGGCATCTGGTTTCACTGTCTATAGCCTAAAATTCCCCATATGTCTCCTCCTCAAGCGCTTGGTCCCATCTGTGCTTGAATACCTCCCAGTGATAGAGCACTCATAATCACTTTAGTTGTCCATCACTGAGTATTGGAAACTTCTTTCTATTATGGATAAATGCAGAGGAATACTTAGAGAGAGCTGAGGAACTGAAGGAAATAGGGAATGGAGAACCAAGACTTCTAGGGCTGACCAGAGCTAGGGAGGGCAGAGGAGAGCTATTAGCTTTGGTGTGTGCCTGAAAACCTCAGTACTTCTCTACTGGGATAAAAGCATCTCTTACCCAGTACCTCAACAAATAAGGGTTTGGGGATAAAGGGCATTGATAAACCTAACATGCAGTCTTTTTTTTTTTTTTCCAGGCTGGCCTTGAACTCACAGCGATCCATCTGACTCTGCCTCTCGAGTGCTAGGATTAAAGGCATGTGCCATCGCACCCAGCCCCTAATGTGCAGCCTTGAGTACAGTTCTGGGAAGGAATATATAGGCAATTATGGCTTATGTAAGAAATGTGCTAGATTTGAATTTGAGCACAATGGCACATGCCTGTAGTCCCAGCTACACAGGAGGATCATATGAGAGTTTGCCAGCAGCCTGGCAGCATAGCAAGAGCCTATCTTTAAAAAAAAAAAAGTTAATGAGACAGAGAGAAAATGCAGGCTTTCAAGTTTAACAAACTGGTATTTGCATTCTGGCTCTGCCAATCACAGTTGTATGACCATAGTCCAAGTACCCAGTCTCTCAAGTTTCAGATTCTTCCTATGCTAAGTGGGGATAATTATAGGACTGACCTCAAAGGGGTACAGTAGGAATTAAATCCAATCGGATGGTGGTGGTGAAACAATGGCTTGAGTGGTCACAGAAAACAGGAAGTCACAGCCAAAGGACCTTCACTAAAAATAAGCCTCATCAAACCAATCTCATGTCTTTGTTTCTTAGATTACTGAGCATGTTATGTACTTGTTTGATTTTATGTTTAACCAGTGGATTAAATGGTCAAATGTAGGCTGGACAGCAGTACACTTGGGTAGATCTATAACCTCTTGAACTAAGAGTACTCATAGACTAGTATTCGTCCAAAGGACAAGCATCTCTAGTGGGATGTCACGGGACTGTTCTTATCATTCTCTGATCCAATAGTCTTATCCAATGTTGAAAAGAAGACATATAAACTACAGTTTTGTCTGGCAAGCCCACACACCAGTAGGAAAATTCAAATTTATCTTACTAAAGGCCAAGAAAATGAAACAAAAGGGAGAGGTTGGGTTGCATTCAGGTACACAAAAAGATGCTGATGTTACAAGATGAGGAAGGATTGGTTGAAGAAGAGTGGTTTGTGTGGCAAGACTCATTCATGTACTCACTCACTCACTCATCAATCCATCCATCACTCCTGGAGCATCCACTGTCTACTACAGAGGAACAACTCAGATAAAAAGGCAACAATCCACACTCACAGAATCCAGCATCGTGGGGAGAAGGACCTGGAGATCTTATTTTTAAATCCTAAGTATTATGTTAAAGAGAAAGGAAAGGTCACATACAACCGCTTTACAACGGTGATACCAAAACTAACAGGCATTTTCGGAACCTGCATGAGAAGGAATGACTTCTAGGGTGGCCTTTATAACATATGCAAAGGCCCCACGGTCAACCCCAAACAATGTTTGGGACTTGGGAAGGGTAAGTCACACAGATTCATCAGGCCTCACATTTGTGTTCCACCTTACCGTAGGTGATGACCAGCAGCACGAAGTTGAGGTTTTTGAAGAGCCGGATGATGGAACTTAGATATGAAGCATCAGTGGATGCCAAGGCATAGCTCAGGGACTGGGCCCTGCTGGGAGGATACTTAGGCTTCTCCTTGAATACTGAAAGGAAAGTAACAGATGATGGAATTTTCTTTTCTTTTTCTGCAGTAGGGGGGATGGAACTTAGAGTGTCATCTCATTCTAGAGCTCTATCACTGAGCTATTATCTCCAGCCCTATAATATATTTTTTATTACCTTTTCTTACTGGCCTCTAGAAGGCTAGAATCATCGGGTCTCCAAGGAAGTGTTCAAGGATCAAGGTAACCCACTATAACCAGCAAATAACATACCACGGATCAAGGGGGTAGGAGACCAATAGCCACACACATGTGGAGAAAGTGAAGCTTTGGGATGAGTGAAGCCTGTGAACGGCAGAGCTTCTCCCAAGGAGCATCGAACAGTGTAACTGCTGCTTGTCACAAAGCCTGGCACGTGGCAGCCAAAAGCTGTTCCCTGAATAAGTCAAGATAACTGAGTGCATTCCTAGCTTCATCAACTCTGAATCAGACATGAGACAAGATCCAGGAGTGAGCACTCTTGTAGGAAAGGCTGGAAAGGGAGAGTGGGAAAAAACTCCATTTATATTCTAGCTTCCACATAGTTGGTATGACCATTTGACCCCATGGAGCATCATTCAGATCTCTGAGGGGCTGGTTCATTTAACTAGGTATTGGGCTAAACTGGTTTCCCTCCTCCCCTCAACCTCCAAGAAATCTAAGCAAACTCCATGAGACCTCTCCTAGAAGGTCAGCAGTCTGCCTCCAGTTAGAGGAAGCTCTGGAAATGAGGCTGACTCTCCCAGAAGATCAAAGGGGCCTCCCAGTCCAGAAACCATTCCAGCCCTGACTTCAGAGCCCTGCCTCTTCCTTCTCCAATAATAAATAGTCCTGGATAAAGTCTTCCACCGGAATCCCTCATCCATTGTCTAGCCTGCTCACTTCCCCTTCCATTGGAAGAAAGCAAAGCAAGGTGATTTGGTTCTACAGTACTAAGTGTTGCCTCAAGGATTTGGCAACCACCAACTAGGGCTCAAATGAGATTTTTTTTCTTTTCTTCACTCGGATAACTACTATCTGTGCTCTGTGCACAGCAATGCCCTACCATCCATGTTTGCAATTGCAAAGAGCCAGGCCTTCATAGGCTATGAGCACAAGCATTCGGTGGTGGGCATGTTAGAATTTAACATGAGTGGAGCTGAGGAGGCAGTCCCGGGCTGGTTCACTCTCCCCTGCTCCCACCCACAGGTCCCAGCTGCTCTGCCCTCCCAGGAGCACAAGCCTCTAGGCCACCAGGAAGGAATGACACAGAGAACAGTGGAATGAGACTCACACTTTATAACTACCTGACTCTGGAGACAAGCCAGCAGGCAGGGATAAACCTTCAATGTCTGAGATACAATATTTAGGCATTAGGAGGAAACTGGTCAAGAGTGAATGACTGGGAAAAAACCCTCTACTTGGCTATTCTGAAGTTACCCCAGCCTGTAAACATCACTCAGATAAAAACAGAAGAAAGATATTCTCTCTCTCCCTTTCATTCTTTCTTTTTTCTTTTTTTAGCTTTTGTTTGTTATTTGTTTTCTTTCTTTCTTTGAGATATAGTCTTCCTATGTAGCCCAGGCTGGCCTTGATTAGTGATCTTCCTGCCTCAGTCTCTAGAGTATTGGGATAACAGGCATGTGTTACCGCATCCAGACAGGAGGCATAAAATTCTATCAATCACATACCTCAGCGATTAAATGGACATCTGTGTAAAATGTTAACAGCAGATCTAAGATTGAAGGCTGAGATTAAGTTGTGCAAGGATAAATTAATAGTTCTTCCTTTCTTTAGATTTTTCCATAAAGATATATTAACATTTTTGGGTTATTTATTTTTAATTTATGTGTATGAATGTTTTGCCTGCATATGTGTAAGTGCATCTAAGTGCATGTAATGCCCATGGAGACCAGAAGTAGGTACTGGATCCCCTGGAACTGGAGTTACAGATGATTGTTAGCTACCATGGGAATGTTGGTAACTGAACCCAAGCCCTCTGCAAAAGTGCTCTTAACCACTCAGCCATCTCTCCAGCCCCAAGTATATTACTTTTATAATTTTTTTAAAAAAGAGGAAGAAATTTGGTCCCCAAGTATTCTTAGGTTAATCTCAGATTATTATTGTTTGTGGATCAATTTCTGTTATGATTTAGAATGTGGTGTTAAACAAACAGAATAGAATCCAATCTTTGCCACTAGCTAACTATTTAATCTGGAACAGAACTTCTCTAAAATCTTAACTTCCTTGTTGAAGAGGACCAGTAATGAGGTATTTCATTCATAGGGTTGTTGAGGACTAGATGAGATCATATATTCTTAACACAATGCCTTTGACACTGGAGGTCTTCACTGGGGTCTCATCTTCTCACGAAGTAGGTGTGAAGAACTGGTCAACAAGACTTTTACTGAGCTGCTAACAAAGTACATGGGATGAGCTAGCCTCCAGAGTTTCTAAGTGTCTGTGGTATTTAGGATAATATTCAAAGGATGCCAAAGTTGGCATAACTTCTCCACCCTCCCCCATCAGTCTACAAATGATCTTACCTATGATGACAAGGATGAAGAGGAGAGTGGCCACGCCTCCTACGATGTAGAACATGATGCTGATATGGTAGGCAAGCTTGTCCTGGTCTTTGATGTTGGGTACCAGAACAGGAGGGACCAAGAACCCAATTGCAATTCCAAGCTATAGAAGACAGACACAATCAGTTATGGCCAAGAAGCAACAGACAAATTTAAAGACACTGCTTTTTCTTCTTTTGGTCTTTTTGAGACAGGGTCTCCCTGTAGCTCCAGCAGGCCTAGAACTCACTGTGTAGACCAGACTGGCCTCCATCTCATAGAGATCCTCCTGTCTCTATCTTCCTAGCTGGGTTAGAGGCATGCATCACCATGCCCAGCTAAAGATACTGCTATTTAAGAACCATAATTTCTGGGGCTGGAGTGATGGCTCAGTCAGTAAAATGTCTAACAAGCAAACATGAAGACCAAACTCAGATCCCTAGCACTCACATAAAAGCTGGGTGCAGTGGTGTATGACTGTAACCCCTGTGCTGGAGAGGCAGAAACAGGTAGATCCCTGGAGCTCATTGGCTGGCCAGCCTAGCAGAATTGATGGGCTCCTGTCTTAAAAACTAAAGTGGAGAGCAATGGAAGAAGACACCCAATGTCAAACTCTGGCCTCCACACATGTATGCATGTGCATGTACACCTGCACACCCATGTGCACACACCCACATGAACATGTACATACACCATATATACACACACATGTACACATACAAAGAAACATATCCAAATGGGAATTTTTCCTCTACTCAAGATGCTTTTGGTTAATAACTTAACTCATACATATTTCCAACCCAATTATTATGGAAAATAATAGATTTGAGAGTTGTACCACAGGCTAGCTCTCCTCTAGTGCAAACTAATGAGCAAAGGTTTCTATTCCCCATCTCTGGCGTAGAGAGTAAAACAATATTGACTTTTTTCTCTTGTGCTATTGAAATTTTCAGTTTCACTGAATTTGTTAGCCCAGAGATAAGAGACCAGCAGAAAAAAGTTCTGTAACCTTCAGCCACATGACTTGCATTCAGTAAGAGTTGGAGGCCTAAAGTTGTCAGCCCATTTATAAACATGTAAATAACTTAGGAACATCCAAAGTATCTGTACAGTGAGGTCACACACAACTACAAAATAGTTACACATATACATATTAATGAGTTAAAACTCCTCATATGGGGGTTGGAGTCCAAAATCCAGGGACCTGGCAGATAACATGACCTGGGTGTTTCTGGGGTCAGAATGCTCTGATTCAGCAGTGACTAGCTATGGTACAGCTCCCAAAAGTCCTTCTACCATCTGTAATACCAATTCAGAAACTAGAAAATAGTACAACTGCTTAGGCAAGCTTCCTCCTCCATAAGTGCAAGATAAACTGTGTTCTCTGTCATACTGAAAGGAGCACCAGGTAAGAAGCGGTTTGCTCCCACTTCACACTGTCACCCCATTCACCAGCTGCCAATCCACTCACTGCTTCAGGGGTGCCCTCTATCAATTACTGTCTATCAAAATGGTTCTTAGTAGTTCCTAGGTCTGGAGTAGGACATCAGCACAGACAACAGCAAAAAGCTGAGCAGAGGGGCTGAAGAGAAGGCTCAACAGTTAAGACTGTTTGCTGCTCTTCCAGAGGACCTGAAACATCAGGAAACTCATGACTGCTTGTAACTTCACACTGTCACCCCATTCACCAGCTTCCAATCCACTCACTGCTTCAGGGGTGCCCAACACCCTCTTCTGGCCTCTATGGGCACTGGATACACAAGACATACAAACATATATATATATATATATACATTAATAAGAATTTTAAAATCTTAAGGGGAAAAAAAGGCTGAGTGTGGTGATTTCCAGTGCAATATATAACCAATACATTGAGCCCATGTTTATTTTTTAATTTTTAATTAAAATTTTATTATTTCTGTGTGTGTGTGTGAGTGTGTGTGTGTGTGTGTGTGTATGAGTGTATTTCCTGTATGTATGTAAGTGCACCAGTGTTGTGAAATGCCCTTGGAGGTCAGAAGAAGGCACTGAATCCCCTGGAACTAGAGTTACAGATGGTTGTTAGCCACGATGTGAGTTCTGGGAATCAAACTCTGGTCCTCTACAAGACCAGCCAATGTTCTTAACCACTGAGCCATCTTTCCAGCCCTGAGCCCATCTTTAAAGTACAATCAGGAGGTAGGAATTGCTTGGGTAATTTAGGGTAAAAAGACCTCAAAAGAAAAGTGACCAGTTTCTTTCATGGCTAAGGGCTGAAATGTCCTTGGACCTACCAGTACACTTGTCCTTGCCTGAAGCCAGAGACACCAGAAGTATCAAGCCAAAGATGCCTCTGGTTCTTCCCTAGTTAGGAGCTGAGAATGGGTGTGTGTGTGGTGGGGGGGGGCTCCCTGATTTTTTTTTTTTCTTTATCTCTCTTCCCTAAAGGAATACCCCTTTCCTGGAAACCATATAGAGCATATGACTAGAACTTTAAGGAATCTGGATACTAAAATGGGAACTGGACTGACCAGCTCTTATCTCCCAGGAAGGGCCCTGGCTGTTTCTTCTATACTCTAAGCCTGAGCCAATGTTCCTCATCCTGAACAGAGGGCTCCTCCAGCCAGCAGGATGGAGTGAGAGCCAGGGGGCCCTCAGTAAGGGTGTCAGGAAAGCAACACTGTTTGGGAATAGCCTTCTTGCAGGAGAAAAGGGCTTTGGAGGTACTTTCATGCCCAGTGTGGAAAATCAAAACACAGGGACATGTCTTTACATGGCTGCCTCTTGGTTTTCAATGACTTTATTTTCCTGCAATTCTCAGTAAGAGTTCATGAGTATTATTTTCAGTTGCTTGATCCTAGGCCTGTCCATTGGAGGCACTCAGTCATGATGCATGGATGGATGGATGGATGGATGGATGGATGGATGCATGGATGCATGGATGCATGGATGGATGCATACATGGATGGTTGGATGGATGGATGGATGGATGGATGGTGGATGAAGTATGTACAGATAGGTGGACGAAGTTGGTGGAAAAACTGGTCTACTCAAAGCCAGGTGATAACAGGTGTATTCATTAGACGCCAGGCTCTTTCTCCAAACACACTGTATCCACATCAGTGTAGCCATCCTGACAGGAATGATGATATTCTAAAGAGACACTTGGGCCCCTCCCTTTGGCTATTGGACTGTTGAGATAATGGACCCCAAGGAACTGGAACTTCCCCAGGTGTCTCATGCTGAATAAGAAGAAAGAGGCTAAAGTCTTAATGCCAGCCAAAGGAGGAACTTGTCTCCTGGAAAGAGCCTAGGACTGTTGAGTTATGCATATCTCTTGCCCTCTGTTTAAACCTAAACCTCATGTCAGGATTCCAAAGATGGCCCGGGTTCAGCAAAGTTGGAGGGAAATAGGGATGACCACTGGACCACTCTATTTGTTCTTCTTCCCAATGTGGCCACATTAAATCTCCTTTCTCTGTTTTTCATTATTAATTGCCCTGTTGAAGATGTGTGGTCAAACCTAGCTTATTAGGGCCACCAAGGTCCAGGCTCTGACTCTAAAAACTCCAGTAACAGTGGTAAGAGAGAAAAAGGGGAGGAAAGTACATTCGGGGGACTAGGGTGGCCTATCACCTCTTGAGCATCTATTAGGTACTGATTATTTAATGTATGTTACCTTTAGGATAATTTCAATAAGAATACAAAAAAGGGAAGAAAAAGAAAAGCAAACACAGAAAAGCTGATGTTCAGCACTCTGCCAAGTGTCCCAGTGTGCTGAAGATAAGCAGTTAGCAGAAGAATTAAGATTTTGAGCCAGAGCTGTGTGACCCCAGGCTTACCTTTTGACTCCCATGAAATGCTGACATGGTGCTAGCCAGCATGGAAGCCTATATAGTCACCCAGAAGCCTATATAGTTTACCCATTGTGTTCTGTCATATGTCTGACATTTTTGCTTGGGCAAAAATCTGAGATCTGAGGCCCAAGGCTATGCAAAGTGAGTTTTGAAATCTCAGCACTCAGGAGGCAGAGGAAGGAGAATATGAAGTTCAAGGTCATCCTCAGTTATACAGAAAGTTCAAGGCCAGCCTGGGCTAAATGAGACACTAGCTCAAAAAATATAATGCCTTAGCTGGGCGTGGTGGTGCATGCCTTTAATCCCAACACTCAGGAGGCAGAGGCAGGCAGATCTCTGTGAGTTCAAGGCCAGCCTGGTCTACATAGTGAGTTCCAGGACAGCTGGGGCTACAGGGAGACTCTGTCTCAAAAAAGACCAAAAAAAAAAATTGGGTCTTCTGTTGGTCTTTTCTCCCTCTCCTCCTATTTCTCATTGGTTCTCCTTCCTCTCCTCCTCTTTTTGGTCCTCCTCTTTCCTCTTAATTTTTATAATTTTGAAAGAGAGGACTTTAGCCAGATGTGGCAGTGAATGTCCATAATCTTGAGAAGTAGAACAGGAGAAACAGTCAGAACCAGTCTTGATCACATAGCAAGACTGAAGACCAGGACTACATAGTAAGATCCTGTCTCAAAAACAAAAACAAATACTAAACAATTATATATTTGTGTGTGTGTGTGTGTGTGTGTGTGTGTGTGAGAGAGAGAGAGAGAGAGAGAGAGAGAGAGAGAGAGAGAGATGAACAGAAGGCTGGAAAGGCAGCCTGGGACACTTAACTTTCATTTTTTATTTTCTGTCTGTCTGCCTGTCCTTTCTTTAACCTCAGGGATGATACTCCATGCTGTGGCAATGCCAATAGTCACGAGCACTTCCAGGGCAAAATCATAATTAAAAACATAACTGTTATACTAAGTGAAGTAACACAGACCCAGAAAAACAAACAACGTATGTTCTCCCTCATATGTGGCTCCTAGCACCAAATCCTTTTAAATTCTAGGTCCTTTTAATAAGATGATGCTATACAGCAGTTCTTTCTGCATGAAATAACTACCATCATCATGACTTCGGCTGAGCCTGATCACTAAACATAATCACAATTGGGCTTGTTGGTGGTTGTGCTCATTCATTAAAGGAGTGCCAAGCAGGGTCGCTGGCACCTGAGTATCCAGCCACTTTTCCCAGCCAATTATATGTAATTTGACCCTAATCATACATGGCCTCCTGGATTTGGGGAGGGCTAAAGTATACA